GAATCAGGTGGTCGTTAAACGAATCAGGTGGTCGTTAAGCAAATCAGGCTCCCCCCACTGAGTTTGAAACCGGCTGGGAAGGTTGCAAATGGAGATCCCCCCCCGCTCCAGGATGAGGCAACCGTCATAAGTACATGCCAGTTGCCAAGCGCCTGGATTTTCTGATCAAGTGACCATGGGGAATGCTGCGACGGTCGTACGTGCGAGGACTGGTTGTGGATCGCCTTTTTCAGTGCCTTTGTAACTTCAAAGGGTCGCTGGACTCTGATCACATGACCAGGGGGGATGCTGTGGCAGTCACTGGTCCCTTATTTCAGCACCGTCATAACTTTGAACGACCACTCAATGAATGGCCGTAAGTCAAGGACTCCCGGAACAGCTCCCTTCCCAACTGCACCACCTCCAGACGCTTATGCCAACACCGAACCTGTGGCATTTGCCCGCTTCCCTGAACTTCACGCCTGCCTTTTTTTTTTTTTACCCATTTCTTCAAAACAAATAAATCAGATTTTTGGAGATTGCAAAACTTACCCGACTTGAAGTTTCCAAAAGAAATTGGAATGTGCTTTGTACAGATTGGCATATTTCTAATTCAGTCCTGCTGAATACCATTAAATAATCCTTAAGGTGGTCATATACATTGCCATCAACAGCCTGGAAATAAATGGAAATAAAAAACAGAAATTTATTAGTGACCAAGAAAAAGCCATCAAGATGAATCAATTGACAGTGATTATGATTACCGAAAGCCCCCGACTTACGACCACAATTTGAGCCTAAAATGCCGGTGGCTTAGTGAGTTAGTGCCCCCAACAGCGAATTTTGCCCCATTTCTGCACCTTTTCTTGCCGCCGTTAAGTTAATCGCAGCAGTTGTTAAGTCAGTAACACGGTTGTTAAGTGAATCGGGCTTCCCCACTGCTTGCAAAGGGGATCACATGACCCTGGGACACTGCGACCGTCGTAAATATGAGTCAGTTGCCAAGTTTGATCACATGACCATGGGGATGCTTCAACGGCCGTGGGGGTAAGTCACTTTTTTCTGTGCCCCCGTAACTGTGAACGGATGTCGTAAATCGAGGATGCCTGCGTTCGGTCCAGAGATGGCAAACACCGGTTTTTATCGCTTGTTCTGGCCCATGGATTGAATGGCTTTTTAAAACGAATTCTTTCGTTTTTTCAAATCGTTTTAATTTTATCGATCACCCAGAAGCTTAATAAGTGGATGCTTAACATTCCCCTTGTCGTTTTTTTGTCTATGGGAAGCCTCGGTGTTTAAACATTGTGCAATTGAGCGCCCCATTAAAACAGCTGCGCATCATGTTCAGGGCTGCTCGAAGCATCTGCTTACAACCGTGCGCTCCACATGAAAAGCTGGAATTTCTGGAAGCACATAAAGACACACGGAGGCCTTTTCTAGCGTTGCCGGCAGATTTCCTGTGTTGGGAGAGGCCCACGATGGGAATTGAAGCATGCAACAGTGCTTGAGTTACGACCGCAAATCGAAAGCAATAGCAATAGCAATAGCAGTAGACTTATATACCGCTTCATAGGCCTTTCAGGCCTCTCTAAGCGGTTTACAGAGAGTCAGCATATTGCCCCCA